ATGAGGTGGCGGATAAGCAGGAGGAAGAGGATGATGAGGAAGGAGGAGGGAGTGTCAGCAGCAGCAGCAATATCAGTATGAGTAGGAGGAGCAGGGGGAGCAGGGGGACCAGGGGACGGCGGAGGATGGAGGAGAAGGGAGGGGGCGGCAACGGATCCAGAACTGTGGCCGGGCTGTGGAAAGAGCGCCATTCTGAACGACGAGGTCACATCGCCGATCCTGACATGTTGCCAACGATGCAGCGAAAACAGTTTTGAACGACCGAGAACGTTATGATTCAGCAAGCAGTTATAACGTAGGCTCCTTGCACTCTGGATGTGCTGGGTATGTGGTGAAGTCTATGTGGTGCAAGTTGTGTGATGCAGCTTATGCGGTGCAGGCGATGTGGTGCAAGATCAGTGGTGTATGCTATTTGGTACAATGTTTTTGGTGGAAACTGTGGCGTGAAAGCTATGTGGTGACATCTTGGTGATGCCAGCACTGCGCTGCAAATCATGTGGTGCAAATTACGCATGTGGTGCAAGCTACGTTGTGCAATCTTAGTCGTGCAAGCTATGTGGTGCAAGCAATGTGGTTCAATCCATGCGGTGTTGTATGAGTGGTGCAAGCTAGATGGCGCCAGCACTGTGCGGCGAGCTATATCGTGCGGTCTTTGTGTTGCAATCCGAGTAGTTTCCGCAATGTGGTGCAAGCTAGGTGGTGCAGTGTGGGTCGAACAAGCTCTGTAGTGCAACCTGCGTGGGGAAAGCCGAGTGGTGCAGCCCGTGCGGTGCAAGCCATATGGTGCAAGCCATGTGGGCGGCGACGGGGCGCCAACGGGTGGCGATCGGGCGCGCCCGGAGAACGCAGCGAGCGCACGAGGCGTCCACGTGGCGCCCACGGGCGGCGGCCGAGCGAAAGCCCGCGGAGCCCAGCGCACGCGGCGCCCACGAGGCGCACACGGGCGGCGACTAGGCGAACACCCGGAGAGCCAGCTCAACTTCCGAGAAGCGAAGCAAGAGCCCCTCAGAGCAGGTACTCTCTCTGGGTAATGCCACCCTTTGAAGTCCTACGTGCGAAACCAGTACGCGGCAGACTCGGCTGCAAGCCAACACCACTTTGCAGATTATGTTACTGTGGAGGGATGTCGCCTTCTCCTTGGTCGCTAGGTGGGTGGATGTTGTCGGCGATGGTGTCGGCGACGACGGCGACGACGGCGGTGGCAATGCTAAAAGCAATGGCGACGTCGATTATACTCGTGGCAATGACGCTTCGACAGTAGTGCTGCTGATCATAATGCGATGCTTCCATTGTGCCGGTGAATGTGTGACCCCGAGGGCGCGGCGGGGCAGGAAGCTATCTGCTGCTGGCCCCGGAGAAGAAGCCCAGTCCGAGGGTTCCTGCGGCTTACGCGGTGTTTTCCCTGCTCGCGTTCGGGTCGTCCCCGCCGCCTTCCTTCTCCGATTCGCAATTCAAAGGTAGATTTCAACACACGACTGCGATCTTTCATTCGGCATCGTGCCAGCATTACTTGCACGCCCACCCTGTTGGCTGGAGAAGAAATTTCGAGAGGGGTCCACAACGCGTCCCGAATTGGCTAGTAGACCCCCCGGGTCTACAACCGCAGCTTGTGCGCGTAGGTCAGAATGACAATTATCGGATTGAGAGGATGGGTTTGGGAAAAATGCTAATGTAATTTGTATTTTCGCGTACGTTGAAGGTGCTTATTCGACTGGTATGTGCATGACCATTGGCCGTCGCATCCTCCAACCCCTTGCAGCTTGAATGTCCTGCCGATTGCGCAGGTACTTCTGCTTGAACTTGGGTTGGTTCTTCGCTGTCATATCGCTGGAAACGACGCTCCCGCTCATAGCATTCACGCGCCTCTCCTTCATCGTCAGCTGTTCCTCAAGAACCCCGCTCTGCGCGTCACTGGCTGGGCCTGTACAATCTGGAATTACCTGTGGGGTCCGATCGGCAGCGATGCTGCACCGCAGGTGCCAACGACTCATGCAGAAGTCCTGGTGCAACCCATGCAGAATGGAAGCGGACCAACGCAGTAGTGATTCCGTATCGCGCGCCGGAAGCAATACGGAATTCACGATGAGTTCCGCATCAGGAACGGAACGCAATACGGAACCTGCTGCGGTTCCGCGACCTTCCCAAATTTGTATGGACATGAGGAACAATTCACTTGTGAACTCCGTGCCAGCAACAGATCGCAATACGGAACCCGATACGGAATTCGCTATTCATTGGGTAATTGCCAGAATCTCGCGGCATTGCTCAGGCCCTTGGTCCATCTTCAGTGTTCGCCGCGTCGCTTCAACACCTGAGATGGTGCAAGATGGCTCTGAGAGGGCTCAGAACACACACACAAGAGGGCTCTTGGACGGTCTGACCGAAGGCCTCGGCAGGGCTCCAAGAGGGCCCCGAGGCAGGCTGCAGGGTGCAACAGGCGTCTTGGGAAGTTCCCAGGGGTCCAAGATGCCAGGAAGGCCCCGAGAGGGCCGCGAAGTAGGCTGCAGCTTGCACCCCGCTTCGCAGGAAGCTTGCGCGGTGTTGGATCGGCGGCCTATGCGCTGCGGTAGCAACACGTTTCCCCTTCGCTAGACGCAGGTGGCCAAAGGTATTGTTCATTGCATCTAGGTGCTCTGCATTCTCTCACCCCCGTCTTTCCAACATGATACTTGTCTTTCTCAGTAGTTTCCCACATTTCTTGAGGCTTCGCGTATACAGACTAGTCCGTAGCCTCTGGCTCAAGCACCGCTCAGCAACGGCCGACCGCCGCCGCGGGGCGCGCGCGCGTCGGGCCGAGCAGCGCGGTTGCCTGCTCCTGCGGCCTCTCAGGGGGGCGTCGCCCTGCAGAAGGCGGGCGCTGGCAGGCATTGGTTCTGCCCTGCTGCAGGGAATGGACGCCTGGCTGAAGGCTGCGAAGGACGGCGTCGCGAAGCTTGGAGACGAGGTCTCCAAGCACGCCGACTCCATCACCCAGAATGCCGCGCTGCTGGCGGACGGGATGCTGGAGGGCGGCTCCAAGGACGGCTGCTACGAGGTCGTCTTCGACGACGGGCCGCTAGGCTTCGAGCTGGAGGGCCTCAGCTTTCGGGTGGCCTACGTGGACGAGGACGAGCAGGCGGCGCGCTTCGGCGTGCGCGCTGGTGACCTGCTGGCGGCGGTCGACGGGTATCAGGTGCCAGCCCTGCCCCCGGCGGAGGACGCGGCGGGCAGGAAGAAGGCCAGGGCGACCGTGTGCAGGTGGCTCTCTGAGATGCCCGCGCCGTGCCCGCTCACGTTCGAGAGGCGTGCCGGCGCCTCCGCGGCTGAGCCCGGGCCGGAAGCCGCCCAGGCGCTGATCGCGGCGCCGGAGCCCCTGGAGCGCCCGGAGGCCGACGGCGCGGAGGAGCTGCCGCCCCGTGCGGGCGGGGCCCGCGCGGGCGAGGCGCGCGCCGAGGACCCGCAGCGGGAGGCCGTGCCGGGGCAGTCGGAGCCGACGGCGGAGCGCAGCCTGGTCACCAGGCTCCGCGCCGAGCTGTCCGACCTGGAGGGCCAACTGCAACAGGCCCGCGCCGAGTGCCACGACCTGCGCCGCGTGGTCGCCGAGCGAGACGAGGGCGTCGGCACGGCCGAGTCGAGGCTGGAGGTGAAGGTGCGGGGCCTGCAGGACCAGCTCGCCCGCTCCCGCGACGAGTCGGAGGCGGCCAGGAGGCGCATTGCCGAGCTGCAGTCGCAGCTGGCGACGTCGCTGTCGCAGCAGCAGGGCCTGCGAGAGGCGCTGGCGCGCAGCGAGGAGGTGGCGAGGGAGTCCTTTGAGGGCCGCGAGCAGGTCCTGGAAGAAGAGGCCTCGCGCCTCCGCGCCGCGCTGTCGGCCCTGGAGGTGGAGAGCCGGAGCGCCGCGGAGGCTGCCTGCCGCCGCGTCGCCGCGGCGGAGGAGGAGTCGGCGGCATTGCGGTCGCGGCTGGACTCCGAGACCGACGCTCTGCAGTCCCGGCTGCGGGCGGCCGAGGGCCAGGTCGATCGGGCCGCCCTGGAGCTGCGCCTCCAGCGCGACGCGTTCGGGGCGGAGGCGACGCGGCTGCGCGAGGAGGCCGAGGCCGCTGCCTCGGCCATGCGCGCGGAGCTGGCTGAGCGCGAGCAGCGCGCCTCGCGCGAGCTGGAGGAGGCGCGGAGGGAAGCCCGCGAGTTCCGGAGCGTCCAGGTGGACGCCGCCGCCAGCAGCCCAGCGAGGGGTGCTCGCGCTGAGGAGGAGCGGCTCGTCGAGGACGCCGCGTTCGAGGTCGAGGAGGAGGGCCCGGGCGTGGGCGCAGGCGCTACCCCCGCGGCTGGCCTCGCGGCGGCGGAGGAGGATGCGAGTGCCGAGAGGCGGCACGCGCTCGAGCAAGTGGCGGCTCTGGAGCGCCGCTGCGCCGCGCTGCAGAAGAAGTTGGACGCGCGGCCCATCGTCTCGATGGCGCCTGCCTCGAGGAGGAGTGGCAGCACGCCCGCCGCCGAGGAGGGCCCGCCGCCGTGGGTGCTGCGGGTGCAGGCAGCGGCCGGGCCACGGGCAGGGCAGCTTGCGATGGCGGCGCTCGTCGCCCACGACGGCGCCCTGAAGGGCTTCACCCAGCGTCTCCTCAGGCACAGGGCGTGGCTGGTGGCTTTCTACTTGCACCAGCTCGCGCTGTATTGTTTCGCCGCGTCGTGCTACGCGGAGGCGGAACTGCAGGTGGCGGAGCCGATGGAGGCTCTCATGGACAGGACTGTACACCAAGGGGTGAGAGGCCATGGATGAATCGTGTGGTTCCCTACTTTCTTGCCCATGTGGGTGTTTGTGGTATTCTCCTTGGGGTGTCACGGGTATCCTGACAAGCTCGAGTAGGCATGGCGTTTTCTTGTCGCCATGCGCTGGTGCGTTTCGTGTTGCCTAGCTCCAAGCTTTAGACGCGCCCTCTTGGTGACACGGCTGGGGCAGTGCGGTCCGGGAAAAAAAGAATCGCCGCGGGCTCCCGGCCTGAGGTTACCTCAGCCCTCAGCTGCCTGCGGCATCGCTCGTCTGTCCCTTGCGCCTGGTGGTATTCATTCTGGCCCCGTCGAGCCTGGTGAAGCACCCTGGCGTTCAGGTGACGTGCGCGTTGACCAGTTCTGGCTATTCTGGTTTCCAGACACCGCCACAGCCTGACCGTGTCTGTCGCTGCCGCCGGTATGGTGGGACGCAGCCCTATTGGATTGCTCAGGAGTGGTTCAGCATTCTTGGTCAGCCATGTGTGTTCGTCCCTGTTGGCCTGCAGCCTAGTACGTTGGACTGTTTTTGCAGCCCTGCGCTTCGCCACGCTTGTGGCGCGTCGACCTCTGGCGCCTGGTGCGACAAGGTTCAATTCATGCTCTCCCCGGTGGTTTGCCTCTGGGGTGCCCGCACGCTGGCAGCCTGGCTTTCCTGGCAGCTTCCGCAGCCTGCCTTCAGCCGCCGGCGCCCCTCAGCCTCCCTCGGCGGCAGCCTCGGCAGCCGTGAGTGCTTTCGCTGGGCAATTAGGCTTCGCCCGTAGCCCGGGTTGACCTCTGACGCCGCCTGCGCCTTCGCTTGCGGCTGCGACAGCCGCTTCCCAGGCGAGTGTCTTGAGCAGGGAAGTGCAGGAGCACATCGTGAACCACAGAGGGGGGGGACAGCCGTCAACTCGAAGCGTCGGCTAATCCGAGCAGCCCCCGAGTCAGTCATGAAGACGTTTTCAGAGCTCGCGATGGATTGCCAAACAGGAGCTGGAGTCAGCCTGACCAGCTGCGAACAATGGCCAATCTGGGGACGCCCTCTGAAGCCGTCCTGCAGCCAGCTTACAGTAGGTTCGTCTCGTGTCGACGCGGCGGCCACCGCAGCGCGGGCGTTCAAGCTTGGCCGCCGCCACTGGCCCCGAATTCGAAACGATCCGCGCTATCAGGAAACCACGATCGTTCAGTCTCAAACAATCCACGCGGTGCCAGAAACCAGCGCCGACGTTGTCACGACACGAACCTGGGTGCGTTTGGGACGCATGTTGAGTCCGCTTGCTGCTATTTAGGGGGGCTTCTCGGGGTCAGCGGAGGGTCTTTGGGCCGTCTTGGGCTGGTCTCACGGCATTTTGCAGCAGTTTTGCTGTTGTGTTGGTCCGTTGTTGGGGCCCTCTTGGCGCCATGAAAGGCGCTGTCGAGCAAAAGTGCAGGCGCGATTTTCGACAGGGTAGTGGCCAATGGGTCGAGGAGAGGTCGCCACTGGAAAACTAATTCATTCACACCAAGCTTTCCAACACGCCTCGGTATTCCGTTGACACGGTGCCGTATTAGCTGAGATCGAATGTCCTTCATGTGGGGTGTCTCCGGGGCTGCCCAGCTCTGGATGGACCAACGGCGGAGTGGGCAGTGACGGCTTGAGTGGATTTCTGTCTCTGAGATCTGATCGCCGAAAATCACGACTGGAGCCCTAGACCCCATCTTTCTGCGTTTTTTTTCGAGCCAGATCGAGCTGTGATGGTCCTGGGGCCCGCGAGCGGGCGCAAACGCCAAGCGTGAAAAAAGTGCAGCGCCTGGGTCTCAGGGTTGGCTCGGCACCCTCCTACCGGCCGCGCGAGGTCCATAGCAGTGCTCCCGTGGACGACGACTGACCACGCCCTTGGCCCAGCACTTAGTCTCTCTCCGACTTTTGCCTGGGGAGCGGCTCGTGGACAGAACCAGCGCTGAAGACCGAAGACCCCGTGACACGTCCATCGGAACTCGATCCGGGTCGCCGGTGCGTCGGACTGGGGCAGAGACGCCCTCGCGTCGTGAACAAAATTAAGATGGGAGTCTTCTTGCTATTTTCGGCCTCTGGAGGCCCTCGCCTGTCCCCAGGACAGTCAATAAACGCCAGTCCAGGGGAACGGGTCGGGACTTCTGGGGACCCGCAGATCTCCCGTCTTGGGCTCGCCTCGTGGCAGAAGTCACGACAGGAGCTTGTTTGTGGTCACTTTCGTTCCCCTGGGGGACTCCCTCGCCCAGCCCCAGGGCCGTCGGGGAGCGGCTCGGGGTGCAGGGCCAGGTGTCGGGAGAGGGGTCGAGGCCTCCGGGCGATGCATTCCCCCCTGAGCCTATCTCCCCTCTTTCCTCCCTCCCCCTCCCTCCTCCCCCTCGTCCTCCTCCCTTTTCCTCCTCCTCATCCTCCTCCTCTCCTCCTCCTCCTCCTCCTCCTCCCTCCTCCTCCTCCACCTCCTCCTCCTCCTCCTTCTCCTCCTCCCCTCCTCCTCCTCCTCCTCCTCCTCCTCCTCCTCCTCCTCGTCCTCCTCCCTCCTCCTCCTCCTCTTCTCCTCCTCCTCCTCCTCCTCCTCCTCAGCCTGGGCTGCTGGCGCTCAGAAGCTGGGCTGCTGGCGCTCAGAAGCTTGCCGCAACCGCTCTACCTGCACACCAGCGGAAGGAGCTCACTGATCTTCTCCAAACTCAGGTCGACAAAGCTACCGCTGCCTTCGAAGCCACCTCCAAGCAAGTCGTTGCTGCTGCGCAAGCCGAGTTCCTGGCAAACGTCACGAAGGTCACCGAGCAGCTCAGCACCCGCCAGGAGTCTGCCGAGCGGGACATCGCCGAGCTCAAAGGCCGTGCTGACCGAGCTGAGCGACTCCAAGGCGACCTCCAGGCCAGTGTGGACGCTCTTCAACAAGCTCTACGACATGCTGAAGCTCTCCACCCAGCTTTGGACATGGACGCCCTCGGTGCCTGGGACCGTCCACCGAATGCAGCTACCTTCTGGTGCGGTGCTGCCTCAGAGTTCTCCGTCGCCTCGCTCAAGATCGCGCTGGCCCCCCTGGTTCGACGCTGCCGATGTGGACATTAACGCGCTCCGCATCAACTCGGAAGGCCCAGCACGGAGGATCTCGTTCACGCTCACTGGTGGCAACACGGTTGCTCTTCCGCGAGCCCAGGCACTACACCGCGCACTTCGGCAAGGACGAGAATGGCGTCGCTTCCAAGTGGAGTCCGAATCTGGCCCCACCGCCCTCTACGTCTCCGCGGACAAATCACCACGCATGGTCCGACAGGAAGTACAATTCAAGAAGCTCAACAAGCTCATCAATGACAAGTTCCCCATGCTCGAGACTCGGGTCCACCGTACTGGCGGCTTCCTGTCCATCAACGGCGCCCCCATCGTCCAGGTCACGGCTGGAGCCACACCTGATGCAGCTACCCGAGTTCGCTGGTCCGACGCAGCTGCTCCCGCTGGCATCCCCATCACCGAGCACGAGCCCTTGGCTGCCGCGCTGGCTGCTGCCTTCGCCAACCCACTGGAGGCAGCACGGTGGCTTTAGCACGCGATGGTCGCCGTGGTTCACGAAACCACACTCCGATGGCTTCAACCTGGTCTCGTGGAACACGCAGGCGCTCAACGGCAGATCGGCATCACGGCGTGCCCTCAAGCGCCAGCTGCTGCTCTCCTACATGCGGCAACGAGCGGTCATCGCCCTCCAAGAGACCCACGGCAACAGCATCGACATGGGCATCCTGGCCGCGAGCACCGACCACAAGTACATTGCCTTCCACTCAGCACTCGTGACAGACGGCCACTCCTCGGAGACCGCAGGCGGCGTCGCCTTCCTGGTTCCCTTTGATCGAGCCGAGCACCAACTACCACCTGATCAACAGCCCCTACGTACATTTCGCGCGATCGTCCCTGGCCGCATTGGTGAACTACGCGTTCAAGATGGAGCAAGGCAACACGAGACGACCATCTTCAACATCCACAACTACGACCTCAGCGACTCTGACCGACAGCGCTTCAGAGCTGCGTGGCAAGCAGCTGCTCAACGTTCTGCCCTCCGCCCTGACAACCGCGACTACTTCATGGTCGGCGACTTCAACGTCGCTGAGACGCCGCCGAAGAGCCTGCTCCACCCCACCGCGGACTCCACTGCCGAGCGCTACCACTACCAGCCCGTCTTCTGGAAGAACACCTTCTCGCAGATGATGGAGATCACAACGAAGGCCACCACTCATCTATGCGCTGCCAACCTAACGCAGGCGACCATCGACAGATGCTTCGTCTCGATCAACGCGTCCAACATCCCGCACATCGAGTCCCTTCTTGTCGCCGATGGCAGACCGCTTGATCGTGAAGGAGAACCCATCAGCGATCACAAACTTCTACATCTACGACTTCGACCTCGACAACCACGCCCAGTCAGCGAGTGTGGCATACCTGCCTTCCTCTTCGAGTCCAAGCACTACAAGTTCTACTTCCAGCGCCTTGTCGAGATGGCCGGCTTCTCTGCCGACCCCACCTCGAATTGGCGGACAATGAAGCGCATCATGAAGCTGGCGGCGCGCAAGTCTCGCGACGCCATCGCCGCCTTCTCCGCTTCCGAGCTCATGCCGATCGAGAGCCAGAGGTCCCAACCCGAAAGGGCCGAATGTCAGGGGGCGGTCCCAAGTGCACCCATCGGCTCCTTCGTTCCGAGGGCTATGCAATCACCGCGCATGCCGCGCTCATTCCAGCTCGAAGGGGCGGAAGGTCAGGGAGCGATCCCAAGTGCACCCATCTGCTCCCTCGTTCCGAGACTGGATAGGGAAGACTCACATGTCATAGCAGAGGCACGTGCGCTTACGCTCCGCAGTATTGCCGGGGCCATCTGGTACCAGGACCTCACTCTTGCCCAGCGGCTTCGTAACGACACCACCGCAGGGGCACAACGCATCGACATCCACCACCACGCGATCGCTCTTGTCCACCGCGCCGCCTTCGAGACTGAGCACTCCGCCATGCAGCGCCAGATCGCGGAACAGCGTCGTCGTGCTGCTGCCGCCCGCTCGCGAGCTGCCTACGCTGAACAACGGCCCGACCTAGGTGAACAATGGCGACGTCGTGCCCGCCGTATTGGACAGCGCAGTGAGATCTGGAAGCCGTTCTCGAAGCGCCTGATTCTCGCAGGCGTCCGCATCGCCGACAGCAGAGGCCCGACAGTCGCCAACGACCCCATGAGCATGCACAGCGCTATTCAATCTCACTGGTCGAAGGTGTTTGCCGCTACGTCAGTAGACACCCCAGCGATGCAGCAGTGCCTGGACATGGTCTTCCCACCAGCACCTCCACGACATCTGCCTCTACCTGGGATTGCTGAACTCCAAGCCGCAGCTACACTCGCCAGTGACTCAGCTCCTGGACCTGACGGACTTCCCTACCGCGCTTGGGTGCGATCCGACGGCAGCATCGCTATCCTCCACGACCTCCTCCACTCCATTGCTCACGGCGGCCCGATCCCCTACGACCTGAACAATGCGCTCATGGCCATGCTTCCCAAGGGTGACGAGCCCATGGGCAACGACGAGTGCTCCCGCAGCCCTGACTGTCTCCGCCCCCTCGCCATGAAGAACAGTGTCATCAAGATCATCGCCTCCGCCACGAATCGCGTCCTCAGCTCCGTCGCGTTGGACACCGAAGAAGAGCAACAAGGCTTTGTCAATGGCCGTCAATTTCTATCCAACATCGTCAAGGTTGACACCATCGCCCGCCTCACCAGCATCAACAGCGACGCCTCCGCCCTGATGCCCTGCTTCGCCAGCATGGACATTGCTGCAGCGTTTCCGAGTCTTACGCACGCGTGGTTGTGGGCTACTCTACGGCGATGGGGCATCCACGACGTTTTTCTCAATCTCTTGCAAAGTTGCTACAACATGCCGCTTGCCTTTCTCGGGCTTGGTGGGATCCGCCGGCCGCTGCTTCTCGCAGAATCAGGGGTTTCTCAAGGATGTCCCGTGAGCGGCACGCTCTGGGCGCTCGTCTTCGATCCCATCATCAAGGGCCTCAAGCTGGAACTCACCGCTCTGGGCAGAGGCCTTCTCAGCGCTTGCGCCGACGACTTGGGTATCGTTCTTGCTGCACTTCGAGATCTTGGCGCTCTTCTCCCACGCCTTCAAGCTGCTCACTACTACGCTGGCCTCCGCCTCCAACCGAAGAAGTGCGTCCTCGTGCCCACCTGGTCCCTGCCGACGCCCGAGATCACCGCGAGCATGCGTGCTATTCTGACCCAGATCTACGAGCCGTGGCAAGCTTTCTCCATCAACAGCTTTGCGCGATACCTCGGCGTGCACATCGGCCCTGGCGCCTCTCTTGACCGTCAATGGCAGGGACCTGCCAACAAGTGGTGGGAACGCATTCAGATCCTGAGCGACTCCAACGCTCCCATCCAGCAGAGCATCAAGATGTACAACTCCGCTGCCATCACCTGTCTCTCGTGCGTGGGCCAGCTCTACCCGCCATCCCCAGCATTCCTGTCCAAGGAGATTCATGGCCTCCACAAGTTGATCCGTGCTGCCCCTCGAGCTTCACGAAGATGGACATCCTGTCGTTCACGCTGTGGGCGTCCGCCACGATCCCGCAGGGCATCGAAATGCTTCTTGCTGCGACTATGTGGCGCTCCTCCACTACGACCACTCCTGGCTGGCAGCCTCTACTTCACGAACTCCGTGCTCACGCTGAAGACCTCCTCCCACTATGCGACGTTTTGGCTGGCATCTGGTCTGCCTCATGTCGGATTGACGACGCTTCCATTGTGCAGCGCTTCGACGCCATTTACCACGACAAGCTGATCGTGACAGGCAAAGGCTCCGCCTTCAAGACTCTCGCGCGATCCACAGGCTCTACGCTGACCGCCGCCCGTGTACTTCAACGAGCTCATGCGCAAGCTGCTGCAGCTGGACGGCATGCTCTCCAGGCCTCCCGTGGTGACAAGGCCGAGGATCTCTGCGCGCCCAGTCGTGACAGGACTGGCGACTACCAGGCGCCAAGTCGTGACAGGGCTGGTGGCCTTCACACGCCCAGTCGTGACAGGACTGGCGGACTTCACCAGAGACAAGCTGGGCTCATCTCTTCGAGTGCTACTACCTCGAGCGTCGCATCACGAACTTCCCCGCAACAAGCCTACTTACGTGAACTACAACGCCAGCTGTACCGCGACTCCTTCCACAAGACCATTCATCATCGACTTCGTGCTTGGTTCCCACTACTTCCTGTCGATAGTGGCTCTCCGATGGCGCCTTCTACATCCGAGCAACCAGCTGGGAATGACGACCACGACTCCATGAAGTACCCGAACGAACGCTCTGAAGCATGGGCAGCGAGATGGATCCCCAGCGTGTTCTTCGGCCGCGACATGGGCAACGTCAACGACTGGATGGACTGGTGCGTCCCCTGCGTCACAGCTGTACTACACCGCCCCCAGTTCAATGTGCACTTCATCCTCGACGACGCGTATGGGTCTGCCAGTGCTCGCCGTGACATGGCGACGGAGATCTGTTACGGTGCGTGGCGTCGAGCTGACCGTCCTCGTAACCGCCGCCTGGAGATCTACACCAGCGAGCGCGTGTCGACTACCGCTCATCGAGAACTTGCTGGCGAAGCTGCTGAACACCGTGCCCGTCGTCGCTGGATCGAACACGAACGTGCCACCAACCCGAACTTCCCGCAAGATGACGGCGACACCGCGTCTACAACTACGACCACCACCACGCTTCCCACCCACCAGCGACATCATGATGGACTCCGACACCTCCGACCGTGACGGACTTCTTGGCCGCGCTGCTCTCCCTGCTAGTGTTGAACACGGTTGGCGCGATCTACGGTCCCACCTGGCGAACTCCACAGCATCGCTCTTCTGGCCCGCGGTCAAGACATTGTCAGGCGCATGGACGACCTCGCATCGCATGCACGTCAACCTTCACAAGAAGACCTGTTTGTTCGGCTGCGACAAGGACTTGCAGGCCAAGAACACGGGCGACATCAGCCACTACATCTCGTGCCCACGGATGTGGGCGCTTTTGGCGCAGCCACGTGGACGACTTGCTGGCGATGCCCTCACGCGCCTGGGCCTCCACCAGAACGACATCATCGACGACCGCCCGAAGCGCGCCATAACGCGCGTGGCCGTTGCCTACCGCAGCTGCAACATCATGCGGGCGCGCTCCGAGAACGGCATGCCCGCCGACTACAACGACTACATCTACCACAAGGAGGTTGTTGCCGCCGCTCGCCGCGCCTTGAGGCTCCCCCGATGCCTCGTGGGCGGCGCGGGGCCGCAGCGCCGCTGATCGACGGACGAGCGCTCTCCCTAGCGTGTCGTTTGCTCCTCCTCCTCCCTCCTCCTCCTCCTCCTCCTCCTCCTCCTCCTCCTCGTCCTCCTCCTCAGCCCATCCCAGCGCGCCCCTTTGCATTGGGCGTGCCCGACACCGTGCGCGCGTTCATACTGGCACACGTGGCATTCGGGCGGTGAGCACTCGTTTTTTTTGTACACGCGCGGTGCATGCCATGGTCGCTCACATGTTTTCTGTTTCTTCGTACAACTGTATCAGCATGCTGCAGCAGAACAGGTTCCAAGACAGTTGCAGCGCTCCCAAGTCCAGCATCGTTCTCATTCAAGGCACGCGGCGACGTATTCATGATTGAGATCCTTGTGATGCCAGCATTAGACACGGTTATCATAAGTTCCATTTGGTTATCATCCTAAACTTGGCAATGCGCATACAGGGGTTACCATTGCTATCTCTTCGAAATGGTTCTCCAGATCCAATATTATTTCCATCTCTTATCCCAAGCAGCAGCATATTTGGGGTCGGGGAGGCGCTGCCACGTGCAAGAATCGCCACGCGGACTTCATGTTCATTTCGGCTTACTTACTCCCAACACGGACACGGCTCGTTCGAGAAGATATTAACCAACAAAAACGTTCAATTCGCTCGAAGAACTCTACGCATCTCTTTTCTCTCACACGCTATCTGTATGGGGCATCGATTCGAACGAACATATCGGTCTCGTACGCTCTCCTGCAGGTCATACCCCCTACCGGCGATATGTGTACTGGCCCTTTTCAATCGAAGTCTGCAGCAACTTCGCACTCAGAAGTGTATCGACTTTTTGCCCAATCATGACATCATATTACTCAACGCGTTCTACCCCATGTACCCTACAGATTATCATGGCGTATTTGGTCTACTAGCTACGTCGACTTTCTCATTGTGCCACGCAGCTTCTACCTCGCGCAACATATCGCAAAATGTCAGACGCTTCGGTCCTTGGGCGACATACTCGTCGAGTCGATCGTCACCCTGTTTACGCATTGGTCGGACATAACTTACGCTATGAAGGGCAAGAGTCCTTACATCATACACGAGGGGATTTTGATTCATTGGTTCAATCATGCATGCAAGGCTCCCAAAGGCAAGCACGTCTTATCGCATTTGACAAATGGGCAGGACAACGCGCAGCCGAACTGGGCGCCATATCGAACAATAGTTCATCTGAGCAATGAGAAAATTGACCGAACATGGCCTCCGACCTATCGCAGCTGACTTTCATGGCAAAAAGCACCAGCATGCAGGACCACATTCACGCGAACGACAAGAGCTATTCTCTCGTCGTCGTGAACTCCGCTCTCAATGTCTTCAAGCAGCCCGCGTTTCTTCTCATGGCATACTGTTATATGTATTTCAGCACTGGCATAGCCTTTCTCAGCTCAGCTATTTCAAGGCAACCGCACTATTCGTCGCCTACACGCTACGCGCAATAAAGAACTCAATGAGCAACGACGTCTCGAACTGCAGGATGCTTGGCGATCACGACGACTCGCAGAAGCTCGGCAGTTCGCACGGCTACTTATTGGCAAGCTCATCGGTCGACGCCGTCGCAATCATCGCAAATTCGCACGACGACGACGTTCCGAAGGAGAAAGGTTTTACAAGCTTTCTCGGCCCGGCTGTTCTGGTGGCTGGAATTGCAGTGGACGTCCCCTCGCTCAGGTTCGTCGAGACATTTTCGACGACCACGACGAGAACGTTCACTTTGATTACCTGTGTCACCTTCTCGTCGAATACGATTTGAAGCAGACTCGTCGGTGGATTCGAAAGGGTGCCAATCGCCGCGTGGGGTGTACCCAGCGAAGTTTAGATGGTGCTTTTGTCGCCATCTGTATTCAAAGCAGAAACTCACGGAGGTGGACGCGACGCCTCTACTACATGGGACTCAAGAGTTTCTCAGGCGTCTTCAACGTATCATGGAAATGACACGTGCTACTGGCCGCAGCCCCTTTCAATTTCATCGCAGCCAAGGCCTTCACATGCCCCAAAAAGACGACGTGCGCATCGTTCGCAGCATTTTTTGCGAAAGCATATCGCACAGGCTGACTTCGACGACCTGGCGACCCCCATCGGCCACCCCCTCGTCGCGTGCTCGCAGTTCCAGGACGACGGCGCGAAGAAACGACTCTTGTACAAATGGTGGTTTGTCATGGATGCTCTAAGCATGGTTTCAGTATAGCTAATCACCATTACGACGTGTTCAATGCGTTCGCTTCTCCTTCTCATGACATCATGGACACAGCAACTCACTCATCTTACGCCCGCTTAGCCCGATGACGAAATTCTCCGGGGGCGAGGAAGTCGTTCCTGCGCACGTCACCGATCAAGATGAACGCCTACTACGACAACATCATCGTCATGCTACATGTGTTCTACACGCGTCCGATATCCCAGCCGAGTTTTATCCTCGCAGCGGTTCTTTTCAAGGCAATAGTGTGGCGACCAACGAGTTCCGCGTTCGGGCCCCCCTTACTTGTCCTTTCGCCCTTCAACCAGGTCATTAACGACCACTCTATCACCTCCTTTGTCGGCGATATGTGCAAACAGTATGTGATGATCACGCCTGCGAGCTCATGCGAGACTCGAGTTTTACATGGCTTGATACCATATTTACCGACTACACGATCGCGCAACACGAAGGCACGAGCGAATCCATTGTGCACTTTGCTGGCGCGCGCGCATTCATGGCAACGCGTCGCGCATGAACAGCAAGCTCAATGCAAAGTACTGAGTACTGCGCGCTATCTCGGGCCCCACCTACACCGCGCAAGCTGTTCTTTCGCCGGTCGCAATCTCAGGATCCAAGCCGCGTCGGAAGCATGGTTCATATTTCAACGGTTCTGATTCACTAAGGTTGATTTTCGATTTCGAGTACTTGTATCCAGATGCGCCGCATGGTCTACGCTGCTGCCTGGGGCTGCCGCTTTTGCCCTCACTGAACGTGGCTGCGTCGAATTCGACAGGTGCATCATTATATGTTTATACTTATACTTATGTTTATATAGAGATATCGTGCTCGCAAACTCATGAAGGGCAAAGCTACTATCAATGCCCCCCGCGGCGACGGCGCCATCGAGTGTTCTCCTGTCCCTACCATCGAAGATTGGCGCGCAATTGGCATTGCTGATAGTATCGCCGAATTGCGAATCCAAAGGTCGACGTGGTTTCAAAAAAGATTCGGTCATCCTCTTCATCATCAACTGTGCGTTGCTGCTGCGTTCGGTCACTTCACCCGGGCCCCCGACGCGCCCGATGTTGATCGTCCGTGGCTTCGACGGCTGCAAGCAGATATTCGGGCGCTATCTGTGCTCGAGCGCGTTTACTTTCTCGGGGATGGAGCGCCCTGGCAGTTGATCGAGACCTGCGCGTTGCGCGACCATTTTCTCGAGGTCGATGTCTCTGAATTGCGATCAAAGTTCCTCCCTGTCACCATTCCCCCCCGCAGTGTGATCAGGATGCACTAGACCATACTGCATCATCATGCTCATTACCTGCTGGCGAATTCTATTGTTGTCTTATGCGTACTGATGGAAACATCTGTACAATGACATTTCCGACCCTAAAAGCTCTTCGCTTACATCGTGCGCGTGGGCAGCCTATGCATGGCATGATTACGTTAGACTCTATCGTACTCGAACTGGTATGTCCATGCCGCTCCACGCACTTCTCTACGCGAAAGGTAGCGCAAGATCGCGCCCGACGCAGTTGGCATTGCGGTCGATGCAAAGTTGATCAGGGGTACATCCCCCCCTCCCATCACGTCCGGCACGACTTGCGCATGCGCCATGCGTAAGCTGTACGGTAACGCGTACGAGTGCGACGACATGTGCGCGTACAATCATCGTATCCGTATGCAGCACCTTTCTGGTCCAAGACTTTGAGATTTCTCGACGCCGATTTCACGTTCCTTAATGCTGGCCCTGTACTTGATGTTCCAGGCCCGTGCCGCCGCCAGCCGAGAGACAGCCCCCCCTCTCGTCCTCGTCCTCGTCCTCGTCGTCCTCCTCCTCTTCTTCCTCCTCCTCCTCCTCTTCCTCTTCCCCCCCCCCTTCTCCTCAGTGTGTCCGACGGCGCTCGTTTGTCCAATTGGTTTCAGGAATGTCGACGGAGATGCGAGCAGTCCAAACTTCAGAATGCACAGCCGTAAGACTTGTGTGTGCACTCGTGCAACTGGCATGAGTGCACGGCGTTCGCGGCCCCTCACGCTTCGTGCTGATTCGGGGTTTGCGTGCGTTGTCGTCGTTTGGCCTAGCTCGTGTCACCCCCGTGCTGTCGCGCGTCTCTGAGCGCATGGGCCATTGTGCAATTATGTCCCCGCCGGGCTGATTTGGCAGGCTTTCGTATTATTGCCACTGTGAATTTATTATTGATAATTCTTACCTCCTCCCCCTCCTCCTCCTCCTCCTTCTCCTCCTTTCCCTCCTTATCCTCTCTTGGCTGGCCTCTCTCGGAAGACTTTTTGGTTTTACCTCCTCCTCCTCCTCCTCTTCCTCCTCCTCCTCTTCCTCCCCCTCTTCCTCCTCCTCCTGCTCCTCCTCCTCTTCCTCCTCCTCCTCCCCTCTTGGCTGGCTTCCTCCTCCTCCTCCACCTCCTCCTCTTCCTGTTTTGGCCTGCCTCTCTCTCTCTCTCTCTTTTTTGGTGGGGGGTTTGTGTTTTTTCCTTCCAGGTTTTTTTTTTCGTAAATTATATATAAATGTCATGAGGTCGAGGTGGTTGATTGCTTTGCGGTGGGACAAATATCGGAAGACCCGTTGGTTCGCCTTTGTCTGAATGAGGGAACCGTTGAGTCGCTGGGGGAAGTATTGGTGTGGATGGCAGTTTTTTTTCAACGTATCGCCTGCCTTAGCGCCGCTCGCATTCGGTTGAAGAGTTTGCATCAATTTCAAGGATCATTATGGGCAGCGTCTGTAAAGTGGTGGTATGGCACGATGTCGCAATGTCAGGGTGCAGCGGTCACGTGAATTCGCGGTGTTGGAGTCCCAGGAGTTGTGTTATGGCACGGTTCATGATCGCCAAGACGCAACAATAATGTGGATTCGCGGCGTTGAAGTTCCAAAAAATGTGTTTGACGCAGTTCCGGATTTTTCAAGAGGCTGTCTTCCAACGGGGCTTTCCCTTCAGAAAACAATTTTTTGTAGGTGCTTATTTTTCCCCTCTCTCCAATGTCGTTGATGAACGTTGGGTGTACACGGCCCTCCTCCTCCTCCTTTTCCTCCTCCCCCTCCTCCTCTTTCTCCTCCTCCTCCTCCCCCTCCTCCTCTTCCTCCTCCTCCTCCTCCTCTTCCTCCTCCTCCTCCTCCTTCTCCCCCCTATCTCCCAAGCAGGCAAACCGGGGCCCCCGGCCGCCGATTGGCCCCTCGCGGTGCCAGGGTCCGATGTCCTCTCGCCCCTGGGGGCGGAGCGGGCAGGCCCGCTCAGGATGGGGCGCATCGGCCCAGATCTGGTGGGGGGGAGGGAGGAGCAACATCAGGAAGGGAACGACATTCTCGGAATCGAGGTTCGAGATTTTCGGACATTATCGTCGGTTCTCGACGGTTTCCCAGCCTGCGCTTCACCGAGGTCGTTCCGGGGGTGTTCGGATCGTCCCGAGCGGCCGCTGGAGAGCTGAACTATGACCCGAAAACCAAAACGATCGGGGGGATGCGCTCAAGAAGTGATTCGTCGACCCCGAATCGTCGACCCCGAATCGCCCGTTCATCGTCTAAAAAGGGCCCGATAATTCAGTCCTGCCCAGGACCCTTCTCGGATTTGCTTTCGGGGCCTCATCGGATTCGCTTGTCGGCGATGCATCGCCGATTCAAACTCGATGTTTTATCCACTGAACTGGTCCCCCCTAGGGCTTGGCCTTCGGTGGGTGGAGGCGCGGACTTGTATCCACTTGGGTTCGTGAGGTCTCGAGTCATGGCGTCTTGCAGTCAGGCGGGCAGACCACACAGCTGCCGTCGCGTTTAGCATCCGCGTTGTGGGCTCGGCGCGGGGACATTCAGTAGTAAAGCGCCAACAAGGAAATGATGCGATGCTACGTGAGGACGAGCTTGCAGTCTGCAGCAGTGCAATTCCAGAGCGAACAGAACGGGACAACATTTTCTTACGATGCCCGCGACTGACCTAGCATATGAAAGGTGACGTCAGCAGACGAGTCGGATTGTTGTCTGAACCGAGTGGGCGAGAGCCATCGACGAGGGAAGGTTTATCGAAATGGGAAGTTTCTGTCCCAGGACTGTGAACAGTTTGATTGTGCGGTCTTGCGCGTGCCTGGCCGCAATGAGGCAGTCGCCCCCGTCTGGTGAACACGTAGCTCTTGACGCTTGGTCTCATCCCCACCAGTCCATCCAGAGACGATCCAAGGCAACTTGCCGTGAGAAGAGAAGTAGAAGATTACTAGCGAAACACAGGGGGCACACCAGTCCAGGCATAGCAGATATCAGTCCACGCAGGTCGTCGATTCTTTGCTGTAGCTCAGCCTTGACTGGGCTCTTTTCATCACTACTTGAGCTCGGCTCAACCGAACTGGGCGTAGCCCAGCGTAGCCTGGTTGAGCCGATTCGGTGCTAGTGTAACGTATCTTAGTGTCGGTTCGCTTGGTCTGGTTTAGATTTGGCTTTCTTTTTCACCCCCTTGAAATTGCCAACTTTAGGCCCTCCTGGGGCCTCCTGGAGCTATGCAGGCCAGCGACCCGAAATGAGGGGGCGTGGACAGGCGGCCTTCTTGTCCTGACGGTCCCCGCCTCTTTGCGTGCTTTTGGGAGCCTCTTGGGTTTTTTGTTCGGACCTTCTGGGCACGTGGCGGTGCCCTCCTGGGTCGTTCTCGAGCCATCCTGAGCTCGTTCGCAGTCCCCAGCATCATCCTGAGGCGCGTGTGCGTGCGTCCGTGTGCGCGCTTGTGTGCTTGCATCTGCGTAGCTCGTAGAGCTTTGGGGGGGGCGCCAAGGCTGGGCGTTGTGGGTCCTCCACGTGAGCATCATCGCCCCTCGCGTGGTGGGCCTGGTGGTGCCGCAGCCGGAGGTGGACCGAGGCACGCGGGCGAGGAGAGCGGAGGGGCTGCTATTCGTTGTATTCGTCGCCGGGGCCAAATCAGGGGACGATGAGGAGAGCAATGAGAAGGACGGCAAGAAGGAGGAAAATGAGCAGGAGGAGCTGGAGGAGGAGGAGGAGGAGGAGGAGGAGGAGGAGGAGGAGGAGGAGGACGAGGAGGAGGAAGAGGAGGAATACGCTACGGTCACGCTGACCCAGGTTTGCCCAACGCAAAAAAAAGAGAGGAGAACGAGGAGGAGGAGGAGGAGGAGGAGGAGAAGGAGGAGGAGGAGGAGAAGGAGGACGAGGACGAGGAAGAGGACGAAGGAGAGGGCGAGGACGACAAGGACGACGAGGACGACGAGGACGAGGACGAGGACGAGGACGAGGACGAGGACGAGGACGAGGACGAGGACGAGGACGAGGACGACGATGACGACGACGACAACGACGACGACGATGACGACAGCGACGAGGGGGAAGACGCGCTCGCTCGCGGGGTCGATCGCGCCAGGCCCAGTCTCGCGCTGACCCCTGCGGGCAGCGTCGTGGCCGCGAGGCTGCCGCTGGGAGGATCATCTTTCCAGCTGGGCAGGCTCGGAGTGGTTGTCCTGGCAAACATCCTGGCAACAACGCCTTCGACGCGATTGCTTCGGGTAGCGAGCGGGCACGCTCGGAGTGAGCTTCCTGGTAAGCTTGCTGGCAACAACGCCGGCGACGCGATGGCTGCCGCAAGCGAACTGGCACGCTCGGAGTAGTCTTCCTGGCAAACTTCCTGGCAACAGCGCTGGCGACGCGATGGCTGCCGGAAGCGAGCGAGCGGACACGCTCGGAGTGAGCTTCATGGTAAGCTTGCTGGCAACGACGCCGGCGACGCGATGGCTGCCAGGAGCGAACCGGCACGCTCGGAGTAGTCTTCCTGGCAACTTACCTGGCAACAGCGCTGGCGACGCGATGGCTGCCGGTAGCGAGCGGACACGCACGGAGTGAGCTTCCTAGTAAGCTTGATGGCAACAGCGCTGGCCACGTGATGACTGCTGCCTGCTAGCGGGCACGCTTGGAGTGAGTTTCCTGGCAGCTGCGCTGGCAGCGCCAAGTGCGCCGCAAGCGCTGGCAGCTGGCTTGCCGAGCGATGGCTGCCGGCCTTGACTGGGTACGCTTGGAGTGATCTTTTTGTTGGCTATGTTGACAGCGCCAAGTGCGCTGCAAGCGAGCGGGCACGCTCGGGAGGCCCACGGGAGGCTCACGGGAGGGCCACCGCCCCAGGGCACCTGTACTGTGAGATGCATTGATGTGGACAGTAAGAGTTAGAGAACAACGCTGGCAAAGCGATGTGCGCCGCAAGCGAGCGGGCACGCTCGGAGTGAGCTTTCCGGCGACCGTCCTTGCAACGACATTGGCATCGAAGAGTGCGTTGGACGCGAGCGGACACGCAGGATGTGAGCATCCTGGCAGCAAAGCTGGCCACGCGATGGCTGCTGACCGCGACTGGGCACGCTTGTAGTGAGCTTCCTGTGAGCTACGCTAGGTGTGCCGCGAGTGAGCAGTCACCCTCGGGAGGCCCACAGGGGGCCCGCGGGAGGAACATCTCCCCAGGGCACTTGTATTCTGGGAGGTGCAGTGCAGAAAGTAAGCACCTTTAGGCAAGGGTAGTTAGGGACAACGCCAGCCACGCCATGTGCGCCGCCAGCTGACAGGCACGCCTGGAGTGAGCTTCCTAGCACGCTTTCTGGCAACAGCGTCAGTGACGCGATGTGCGCCGCAAGTGAACTGGCGCGCTCGGAGTGAGCTTCGGGCCACTTTCCTGCCGACAGCGCTGGCGACGCCATGGGAAGCGAGCGGGCACGCTCGGAGCGAGCCTTCTAGAAAGCTTCCACTCAACGGCGCTGGCCGCACGGTGTGCGCCAGCCGCGCTGGTGGAATGACTGGGGCAAGCCTCCTGGCAGCAACGTTGGCCGCGCGATGTCTGCCAGCCGTGAGCGGGCCACCTTGGAGTGAGCTTTCTGGCAGCTGCGCTGGCAGCGCCAAGTGCGCCGAAAAAGCGAGCGGGCACGCTCGGGAACCCTGCAGGAGGCTCGCGGGAGGGACAGCACCAGGACACCTGGGCTGTGGGAGGTGGTCAAGTAGACGGTGATGGAGGCACGGACAGTAGACGGTGTGAGCCCTTCGGGCAAGCCCAGTTAGGGACAAACTGGAGGGCACGACCGCCTGCCATCTCCTCCACGGCCACCAGCTCTGGCCCCTCCGCGCAGGCCCGCATGGACCCGCCTCCCACGCGCTCGCTCGCTCGCGCCTCCACTGCACCTCCTCCTCTTCCCCCTCCCCCCTTCGCAGCCGCTGTGGCCAGGCGCAGTCACCTGCTGCTTCCGGCTGTGGCCCTCGGGCCGTGTGCATTCTACGAGTGTTGTCGTTGGAGACCGTTGGGGTATCTCAGTGCCTCCTGGCGGCACCTTGAGACCTCTTGGGGTCCGTCTGGCGGCATCCTGGGATCTGCCACGCATCATTGGAGGACAGCCATAAGCGCAAGGCTTCAATATAGAGGCACGCCCACCAGAAGCGTTTGTAGCGTATGCATTTTCGTTTTCTTCCATGTTTTCCGTTTGAGGCGGACTCGTTCTCGGTTTGGGGCCAGTCTGGGTGGCGTGAGTTCAGATTTGTGTCGGGATCCAACTGGTCCGCTACGGTGGAGGTTTTAGATAAGAATACTTTCGATAAGGAACCCAGGCTCTCGCAACGATGGGCGGCCAAATGTGGGCCACCCACCTCGCCTTGAAACAATGAGGGATGCGCCAGGGTCCGGGCCCCAGGAAGACGTTCCTCATCCAATGCCGCCGCCGTATCCTTGCTGCCCCGTGGACGCTCTGCAGAACGGCGAACAAGCCAAGACCCGCTGCCGAGTGGCTGGGAGGCGCGCCCTCGGGGGGCGTCGGGGCAGGGATGTGTGCGGGTATTATGGCTGGGGCCGTGGTCGGCCCCGGCAACAGTGGGCATCTGACGCGCACAAGATGACGCAATACCTCTGAGCACACAGCCAGTTTTGATTTTGATGTCGTCTCCCCTCTCCTGCTCTCTCCCTCTCCTCCTGCTCCTGCTCCTGCTTCTGCTCCTGCTCCTGCTCCTCCTCCTCCTCCGCCGCCTCCTCCTCCTCATTCTCCTCCTGTAACCACATTTTCCAAGTCGGTTGCCACCAGCGCGGCCTCGAGTTTGCCGACGCGTCCTTCTGGATGCCTGGCCTTTGCCTGCTGGCTTGCGTGAGATCTCCTGGATTCCATCGCCCCTCGTTCCTCTTTCAGTGCGCTTGGTGGCCGCACCTCGTCCGCGCACATGCCTGGGGCCGGCATGCGCCACCCCTCCTCCCCGCGGCCCCGCTGTTCGGCGCACCGGAGTGGTCGGGGGGCGGCCTCCGACAGGGGTGGGAAGCCCTCCTCCAAGTGGCCGCCTGCGGGCCCTGGCATCTCCGCTTCGTGCAGACATCACGCCAATGTTTTCGGTCGCCAGGGGGGCGCTCGCGAGGCCCCAGCACCGTCAAGCAACGACTCGGGTTGGAACGCGGGCCCCTGGGAAAGGGTCCACTCCTCTCTGGGGGTTGCTCACAGTGATGGGCCGATTTTAATCCACCAATACCCCAGGTAGGAGAGGGAGGAGGCGGAGAAGGGGGAGGAGAAGGAGGAGGGCCTCCCCATCCTCCCTTCTCCCCTGTCCTACCTATTGTGGTGGTGGTGGTGGTGGTGGTGAAAAATTGGTCCATCAAAAAGTGCGCCTGGCCCAAGGTGCCCCCAGCTTTTCGCTCAATTGTTGAAGCCCCTGGGGCCCTCTAGGCCTCGTGATGGGGTGCTCTGGACCCCGTGGGGGGCAGCCTGTCGGCCTCTTCTTTTGAGCGGTCTCCCACGCTCTAGGATGGAAACATCGGCACAGACACAAATAAAGCTAGCTTCCCATGAAAATATAGGAAAATATGGGGGGTGGAGGGGAAGACGACAATCAAGAAAACATGGACAAGTGCTGCGAGCCTAGGATTTACGTCTATTTATTTGTGTGCCCCTGGGCCCTTTCATGGCTGGGTCGGGACTAGACTCAGGGCGCAAGCCAAACGTTGTTTCGCTGTTTTTGCTGGCCGTTTTCGTTTTCCCGTTCTGTTCTCGGGCGCCAGCGCGCAGCCTTTTTTTTTTTTTTGTTTCCGCCTTCGCGGGCGACGGTCTGGAACGAAACGAGTTGTTTCGGGGATGGCGCCGTTTTTTCGTTTTTTCGTTTGAAACGCAAGCGGTGTTCAAACAAGGGCAACGTTTTGCTCGCGCCTTTCTCGCAGTCGGGCCGTGAGCCAGCCTGGGCCGGGGCGCTGCCTCCGAGCCGGATGTCGGCGGCGGCGCGCCGGGGCGCGGGGCGGCGCAAGGCACGCTCTACGCTGCCCTCGCCGTGGCTTCGCTGCTGGTGCACCTCTCCGCAGGGAGGGGTTAGGGGGGGGGCAGTGTGCTGCTCCCCCTGCTGCTGCTCCTCCTCGTCCCCTGCGCCGCTGCTGCTGTTCGACTTCCTGGCTCTCCTCTCCCCTCGTTCTTTGTCCTCGTAAATAACTCCTCCCTGTCGCACCCCGAGACGTGCCTGCGGGGCGGGCTGGGCGTCTCGCTTGAGACTTTCTTGCCTTTTATGACCCTGAAGCTGAGAATTTGCAACAGTTTCACCGATGGAGGGCGGGTTGTTTTCAAGATGTGGCTCTCGCCTTAGCGCCAGGCCCCCCTCCCCCCTTCAGCCATCCTGCGTCTGCCGCGCGGCCCCTCCTCGTCGCCGCGGCCTGCCCTTTCTCGACGTGCTGACCCATATGGCGCCCCCTCTCTTTGCTCCCCCGTCTTCTTCTTCTTCTTCTTCTCCTCGTCGTCGTCGTCGTCATCATTCCCCTCCTTAGTTGGGTATGCTCGCAGGGGTGGTGCTGCTTGCATCATGAGCCACGGGCCGCACTGGACGGTTTAGCAACTCTCACAATTTGCCCTCAGAGTCATCTTGCCTCGTACTCGGTAGGCATTAGCTCGGCAGGTTATACGCAGCAGAGGCGGATGATCTCCCACGGGCCCTATCCCGATCCTCCTCCTCCTCCTCCTCCTCCTCATCCTTATGCTTCCATTTTTCTATTCCTCCCTCCCTGGAGGACTGCAGAAGATTTCAGCGGCCTCCTCAGAAGAACTCAGGGGACGTCGTCCTCTTCCTCCTGCTCTTCCTGTGACAGCGGTGTGGCGTGTGACCTCGCCAGGAAATTTCGGTTCAGCATTAGAATGATGGCGCATACGACCAGGCGTTGCGATTCTGCGGCTGCTCTTTCTATCAGCAGTAACAGACATCAACGTTCATAACTCCGGGCGTCGTTTTCGAGCGACGACCCTGACGTGTTGGCGGAGATCCCTTAGAGGAGCGGCTATACATGCCCACAAGGCTTGGACGTGCCCGGAGAGCGAGAGCGAGGGTAAGGAGAGGACAACAACGAGGGCAAGGGCGAGGACAAATACGAGAGCAAAGGCGAGAAAGGAGAAGGCACAATGCCGCGAGGAAGCATGCACGAGGATGCGGATGAGGATGAGGATGAAGATTGCGCATCACAGTAAAGCCTCCACACAGCGTTTGCGTGTGCAGCCTTGCAGTCCTCTTGTCTCAGGCCCTCGAGACAGTCTTCGAAGGGGTAAGTTAAATGCACACGCTGGGGCTGAAGGACCAATTTCTGCAGCACTACTGTGTGGGATCAACTTCAGCGGGACATTGTCGCTCGTACCGCTGTCGTTCTTGTTGCGGGGCAGGGCTAGCCGATGGCCTACGACGGACTGCCAGATCTCCATCAGCGTTGATGCGGGCGTGTGCGCCCTCATCACAATCGGCTTCATATTTGAGCGCGTTGGAGGACACGGGGGGGGCAGAACATGTCTGTGCTAGTGTCTGTTGTAATTTGTCCCGATGACCTTTCGCCGTCTCTCGCGACTCGCATCTTCTCCGTTTATGTTGTCTAAAAAGTCTTGCTCGTGGGTTTTCTTCATTGAGCTTACGAGTAACCACAGGGTCTGCGCACACTTTCATATCGCAAACACGGAGGAACTCAGTATCCTCATTCATCGAACGTAGGCTTCTTCTCTATTCGATGCTAATGTGCACGGACTCTAGGCCTAAGTTTTCGCTTTCCTCATTCTCTTTCCTCCTCCAGTTCCTCCTGGGAGCTGATGCGTGCGCATCAGTTTTCCAGCCGGACATAGCAGTCCCTGCTATCAAAGCCCGCGCTGGTCCTCTGCGACCCTGTGGCCCTGGCCATCCTCCAGTACGCAGTCAGACATGTCGAGGCCCTTTCTAGGTTGTTCCCGTATCAAGGGATATCCTCGCAGAAGCGGGGCAGCAGTCGTATAGAACCACAAGGGTATGGTTGCAGCGCCGTTCAAGGAATGCATTCATGAGGCACCGCTTCCCACGTCGCGGTCGACAGCGCAAATGGCCCAGGTTTGCTCCGTTTGCTGCCATCTATCGAAGACGCTTGTGGTAAGTCACCCCCGCCCCCTGTGGTCAACAAGCGTTCTCTCTTGTGAGCCTCGGAGAATGTTTCTTCTTGGCGCCTCTTGGGGCTTCGGGGCCAGATCGAGGGACGCATCTGGGGTCATGTTGGCAGCATGCCCAGCCCTTCGATTCCAGGTCGTGCTCCTCGTTCTCCTTCGTGCCATCCTATGAGGGTGGCACCGCCTGGTGGGACTCTGGGCCCTCATGCTGCCGCTGGCCTCGCTCGGTGTTGTGCGCACGCAGCCTCCACCGCCAGAGCACATCCATGTCCACTGCACTGGAGTCGTGCCCCAGGATCTCCAAAACCTCTCCGAGGAGCGGTGGGCGCGGATCTCTGCTTGCCCCGCCCGTGAGGGCGGAAGCGCACCCGCATCCGCCGCTCCCCAGGGACCCAGGGGCAGGACCTCCATCGACCGTGGACCTGGATGTCTTCTGGCGGTGTACAGCATCCTCCCCTTTGATTGATGTTCAAAACGCCAGGGGCGTGTCTTGTTGCATGAATGAATTATGTTTTCTTTTACTCACCCCGTTTTCAGCTTTTCGGTTTTTGGTCAACCAAAACGGAGGAAACAATGGCAGCCAACACCAGAAGCACACGGCAGCACAACACGGAACCAAACCTAACACGGCGCGAACGAGCACCCCCCCAGCGGAAAACCACGGACCCCCCTAACGGAAAAGCAACCTCGATCCTGAAGACGGAGCAACAACCGCACCCAGCGTTTCCAACATCATCTATGTCCTCGCTCCCCTCGCCCTCTCGGCCGCCCCCCCCCACTCCCCGCGAGGGCGCCTCGGCCCGGTGGGCCTCTGGGCCCTCCTGCTGCCCCTGGCCTCCCCGGGCTGCGTGCTCGCGGCCTTCTGCGCGCTCGAGCACGGACGCCCGGCGGCAGCGCCGTCGCCGCCGTCGCCGTCGTCGTCGCCGTCGTCGCCGTCGCCGTCGTTGCCGTCGCCGCCGCAGCCGTCGCCGCAGCCGTCGCCGCCGCCGCCGCCGCCGCCGCCGTCGTCGTCGTCGTCGTCGTCGTCGTCGCCGTCGTCGTCGTCGTCGTCGTCGTCGTCGTCGTCGTCGTCGTCGTCGTCGTCGTCGTCGTCGTTGTCGCCGAAGTCGTCGTCGTCGCCGTCGTCGTCGTCGTCGTCGTTGCCGTCGCCCGCGGCAGAGCGGTCGACCAAAGGCCGACGTCATGGCTCCAGGTGGGCGACACAACAATTCCAGGTCGTCTGCACCGGCATTCGCGCGCAAGCTTGCCGCGTGGCGCTCTGGTTTCCAATGTGGCGTGCCGCGCTGGCGGCCCGCGTAAGCCACCGCGTGCGGTCGCTCTGCTATCTCGCGTAAAACCCGTTTCTTTTCGTCCCTCAGGTGTGTTCGGGGGGGACCAGGTCGAAGAGCCCGGCCCAGTTCATATCTGATCCAAAGCAGCGGTGGCTGAGGAGGGGATGAGGATGAGGATCAGGATGAGGATGAGGATGAGGATGAGGATGAGGATGATGATGATGATGATGATGATGATGATGATGATGATGATGATGATGATGATGATGATGATTATGATGCTGATGCTGATGCTGATGCTGATGCTGATGCTGATGATGATGACAATGATTATGATGATGATGATGCTGATGTTGATGATGATGATGATGATGATGATGATGATGATTCTGATGATGATGATGATGATGCTGATGATGCTGCTGCTGCTGCTGATGATGATGATGATGATGATGATAGTGATGATGCTGATGCTGATGCTGATGATGATGATGATGCAGCTGCTGCTGATGATGATGCTGATGATGATGCTGATGATGATGATGCTGATGCTGATGCTGATGATGATGATGATGACGATGATTCGGATTATGCTGATGATGATGATGCTGATGATGCTGATGATGATGAGAATGTTAATGATAGTGATGATGCTGATGCTGATGCTGATGCTGATGCTGATGACGATGATGATGATGCTGATGATGATGTGATGATGATGATGCAGTTGCTGCTGATGATGATGCTGAGGATGATGATGCTGCTGCTGCTGCTGATGATGATGATGATGATGATGATGATGATGATGATGCTGATGATGATGATGATGATGATTATGATGGTGATGGTGATGATGATAGTGAGGAGGAGGAGGAGGAGGAGGAGGAGGAGGAGGAGGAGGAGGAAGGGTACACACATCAATGACTCACCCGATGGGCATCTGATTGTAAGGGTCTCTGGAGGACGAGCGGCACCGATTGAACGGAATGCAGGAACATTAGATGCATGCAGGGCGACGTGCGCAACCCTCCGGTCACCCAAGAGAAGCTGGACAAGGCGCTGTCGGAACTCAGAGGGGGCAAGAGCAGCCCAGACGGCACCACTGCAGGGGCCCTCAAGGCACTGCGGAGCGGGTGCAAGGGCGGGCCGAAGGCAAATCTGGTTCGCAGGTGGAAGACATCCTGCATGATTGACACGGTCGATGACTACCATTGGCGCCGAAGGTGGTTGGTGCGACCACCTTGGCGAAGTTCATGCCCATCGCAGGCCTATGTACCGTGTGCAAGCTCCTTTGCTACGTCGGGATGCTCTCGCTGCCATTGTTGAGCAGAGTGGCGGAGCTGGCCAGACAATGTCTGGCCAGTTCCACAAGTGGAGGTCGATTGCGAAGGCCTTACGGCCAGTGCCGCCGACCCTGAAGGGGAACGACGACGACCACGGCGACGACGTCGACGACGAAAACCATTCAAGAACTTTCTATGACAATTCATTGATTTTACTCTTGTGGGGTTGTCTGGGGACGGCCCTTAGGTCCAGGACCCGTTTCCATCAGGACCCGTTCACTTCGTGCCAAAAGCGACCCACAAGTGGAGGTCGATTGCGAAGGCCTTACGGCCGGTGCTGGCGACCCTGAAGGGGGACGATAACGAACACAACGACGACGATGACAGCGATTCCATGAGGACCCGTAGGTTGATTTCCTCTTGTGGCTGGATCTCGGGATCACGCCGCACGGGGCTGCTTCAGACGACTGTCTGGGCAGCGCGTCGCTGGAGAGGGCGCTGTGGGCGCCGACGGAGCTGGAGCGCAGGGCGGCCAGCCAATGCCGCCGCGGTAGCTATTCGATCAGCGGTGGTGGCTCTTCCACAGGATAGGGTGCCAGGGTCTCGGCAAGTGCGGAGCCAATGGCGTGCAGCAGTGCCAACAGAGAGTCCAAAAATTTCCGACTCCGCAGGGCGCGGTGGCAGTTGATCGATCAGCGGTGGTCGTTCTTCCGCAAGATACGGTCTGGAACTTTTGCTTAGCGTGTCGCTCCGCCGGTTCTCGCCCATCACGCCTCGGCGTGGCGCGCTAGCCACGTCCCAGCCCCCGGGCGTCAACGGCCCGAGCTTTTCCCAGCCTCCCGCCCTG